GGAGAAGAAATCCACGCCCCAGGCAAAAAAACCCAGGTATTTGCAGGCCAGAAGTGATGCCCCGCTCCTCACCCACCTTTTTGGAGCCCTGGCACATGATGACGCAGCGGCCCTCGTCGTCCTGCAGCGGGCGGTTGGCGTGGCCCACCATCTGCAGGACGTCGTAGATGGGGTAATCCACGTACCTGGGGCACGGAGAGAGCGTTAGTGAAGCTCCACGGGAAGGGGACGAGGGTTTTTGGGATGAGGGCAGCGACACTCACGCGTGGATCTTGCCGTTGTAGTACTGCGTGTCCATGATGATCACCAGGTGAGCGGCGATGCTCATCCCCCAGCAGAGGCTGCGGGAGGCAACCATCACCTGGACCGCGCCTGCAAGGGGTGCAAGAGCGGTCAGAGCACCACAAATGAGCCAAAATTGGGCAACTGGGAGAAAGACGGGGGGGTTTTGTGCTTGGGCAGACAGGTTTTGGCACACAGGGAGGTCTGGGGGAGATGAGGAAGTTTAAGACCACAGGATTTTTAGGCTGAGAAGCGGCACAAGGCTTGGGCAAGCTGTTATCTCCGGTCCAGAGGCTGTGGGAGCTGCCAAGCTCTGGGGTAAAGGGATTTCAGGGTAGGAGAAGTGGCTGTCCCCGTCCCAGGCCGCTCACCGGAGCTGAAGAGCTGCTCCACCACGCGCCGCTCCATGGCCGTCAGCCCCTCGTGCAGGTAGCCCACGCCGTTGACCAGCGTCTCCTTCAGGGTGTTGTCGTTCAGCTTGTCCAGGTAAGGGACCAGGTCCTTCTCTGCGCAGTGCAGGAACCTGCGAGTGACACCCAGCGAGGCCACAACCGGTCACTAACTGTCCCTCCATCTATAGCACCAGCCAAAACCCACGCCCTCGTCTCCGCCAGAGGGACACGGCGCCGTTACCTCTGCCTCTGGACGTCGGAGGCGCAGGTGGTGAGGATGTTGATGGCCGTGAGCCGCGTCTGCTTGCGGGACGGGACGAAGACGATGACGGGCTTTTTGGGCGAGTGCTTCATGATGGCGTGGTAGACGGGCTTGGCCATGGAGAGCAGGCGCGTCTGCGTGTGGCTGATGTTGAAACCCTGCGGGGACAGAGCAGCAGGCGGTGACGCTGGCCTGGAGCCCGGGGAGAAGGGAAAGGAGACGAAGTCCCCCAAACCTCACCTGAATGTGCAGCTCCAGGGGCACGGGGCGGACGTTGGGGTGGAAGTTGAAGGTGGAGGTGGCGCTGCAGCCCAGCCAGTGAGCCACGTCCTTGGCGTTGGACAGGGAGGAGCTGAGGGCCACGATGCGGATGGGGCGCTCGATTTGGGAGGAGATGTAGCGCATGCGGGAGCAGATCACCTCCAGCACCGGCTGTGAGCAGGAGAAGAGGTTGGAGCAGATCACCACCGAGCTCTCCACAGCCACAGCCACTTCCATCTCATTAGTGTTGCTTCCAAGACCATCGCCCTAACGAGCGGCGCTCCCAGACTCACCCCGTTTTCACCCCCGATGAGATGCACTTCGTCCACGATGAAGAGGTTGACGTTCTGGACGTTCTTGCGCTGTTTCCAGCGCCGTGAGAGGATGTCCCACTTCTCTGGGGTGCTGATGATGATGTTCCCTTTGCCCAGAAGCTTCAGGTCGGTGCTGGTCTCCCCCGTCAGCAAAACCACCTTTTTATTGAGGCGCTCCTGGAACTTCTCGTACCAGTCCATGAAGACCTGCCGAAAACACAAAGGGGTGCTGCTGTTATCCTTAAAGTACAACAGATCCAACCAGATTTCCTGGAGACACACACACATGCAGGGACCAACACCAAACCCCAATTAATTAAAAGACTCAGGAGTCATCCCGAGGGACGTGGCAGCAAAGAAGGGATGAGGAGAAGTGAAATGGGAGGAGGAAGCAAATCTAAGGCTTCATTTCTCCCCGGGATTCACCTGCTCTGCCAGGGCCTCCATGGGGGTGATGTAGACGCAGCGCCCCTCCGAATTCTGCAGCAGCATCCTCAGGATGGCGAACTCGGCACAAATGGTCTTCCCGCTTCCCGTGGGGGCACCCACAAACACGTTGTCATCGCTGTTATAAACCGTGTTGAACACTGCGGGCAGACAGAAAATCAGCTCTGTGTAGCTCAAACGGGGGCAACAGCACAGAAAAGAGCAGCTTAAGCAGTTTAAGTTTAAGCAGTTTAAGTTTACAGCCTTGGGGACGAGTGGCTGGAAAGGACCTGGGGTGTTGGTGGCAGCAGATCCCATGAGCCAGCAATGTGCCCTTGAGCCAAGAAGGCCAACGCCATCCTGGGCTGGATGAGAAGGGGTGGTTGTAGGGCAGAGAGGTTCTCCTGCCCCTCTGCTCTGCCCTGCTCACACCACAGCTGCAATCTTGTGTCCAGTGCTGGGCCCTCAGCTCCAGAAGGACAGGAACTGCTTGAAAGAGTCCAGCAGGGCCACCAAGTGATGGAGGGAGTGGAGCATCTCCTGCTGAGGAGCGGCTGAGGGAGCTGGGGCTCTTGAGCTTGGAGCAGAGGAGACTGAGGGGTGCCCTCATTCCTGGGGATCCATTGGGAAAGGGCAGTGTCAGGAGGAAGGAGCCAGGCTCTGCTCTGGGATGGCCATGACAGGACAAGGGCAATGGGTGCAGCTGGAGCACAGGAGGTTGATGTGAACATGAGGACAAACTTTGTCAGTGTGAGGGCACAGAGCATGGCCCAGGCTGCCGAGAGGTTGTGGAGTCTCCTTGTGTGCAGACACCCAAAGCCCTGGCCGTGTTCCTGTGTGACTGCTCTGGTGATCCTGCTCTGGGGGGGCTGCACTGGGGGAGCTTTCCAGGTCCCTTCCAATTCCTGATATTCTGTGAAGCAAAATCTCCATGGATTTCTATCAAAACCAGCCCTGCATTGGCTGCTTGATGTACTTGAGGAGTAGATCACAGATATTCTGGTGCCTGGAGGAAGTCTTCAAGCCATCAAACTGCTGAGGCTCAGGGAGGTAGAGGGGATACACTATTTCCTATTGAACTTCCTCACGTTATGTGAATAAACCCCCAAAAAGCAAAGCCACGGGACTGTGAACACCAGAAGGGCCAGGGTCTCAATGAGAGGCGTTTTGGAGGAGAGGGGGCAGAGGCAATACCCACCCTGGGTCTGGATGGGGTTGAAGAAAGGGAACTTATCCTGGTAGAGGCTCTCGAAGGCGCTGTTGCGCAGGGCTGAGACGGGCAGCGGCTGCAGGTCCAGCAGCTCGGTGGGAGGAGGGTACTTCTCAGGCAGGATCAGGTGGCGGAAGGAGACGGGCAGCTGGGTCTCGCAGGCTGTCAGAGACACAAAAACCCCAGTTTTACCTCTAAAAGCACTCCATGGTTTAATGCTGACCCCCAGCCCTGCTGTCACAAAGTCCTTCCCCCAAAGCAGCGCTGGGATGGGGCACAGACCCATCAAAACCGTAGAGGGAAGCGATGTGGAGGCACCCTGGGTAGCATCACTCACAGAGCCAGCGGTCGGACACCACGCGGATGAAGTACTGAGGGGGCAGCGGCTCAAACACCGGCACGAAGAAGGTGACGAGGTGCTCGTCCTGTGCGTATTTGGCTTTCAGCAGGTTTTTTTGTACTCGTGGTGCAGGATCACTTCGCTGTCCACGTCCTCCACCAGGATCCAGAACGCTTCAGATGTGCCGTGGACCTGGGGAAAAGCAGCCGTTACCCTCGTATCGGGGTCCAGATCCCCTCCATTCAGCTACACACCAGTTCTGCCCCCCCCAAAAAGGGTATTTATCCTGGTGATATTCGGCTTGGCAGCTCACCTTCTCATCCCACTGGAAATCGGGGGCAATGGTGAGCTCCACTTTCAGGGTGGAGCGGGTAATGGGCTGCAAATGGACCGAAAGCTCCAGTTTTGGAAAGAGGTGAACGTATTTGTGGATCGTTTTGCCCATTTTGGGCATTCGGATCAGTTCCCCTGCAAGAGAAAGGCGCTGCTGTCAGGACAGACGGACAGCAGGGTGACAGACAGCTCCCAAAATGCACAACGTTCAGTGCTGGTGATCCAAACGGGTGCCAGGTGTCCCAGGCTGAACCAAGACCCAGTTTTACCCCTTTAATGAGAGAGGAACAAGCCCAGTTTCCGGGTCAAAACAGAAGAGAATGAAGAGGCAGACGCCTCCCCCAGTCCCCGTACCTATTTCGTTATGGTTCAAGTCGTAGAGGCGCTCAAAGGGGAAATTCTTCTTCTCGATCTTCTTCACCACCTCTTCGGGCAGTTTCTTGAACTGGCGCAAGGGGCACATGGACTGCCACCTGCGGGGACAGCACGGGCGAGAAATGAGGTCCCCAGGGCACCGAGGTCCCCAAAAACCAGCCCTCGGCCAGCTCCTGAACACCCCAACAGGCACACGCGCTCTCCTTCCCAACCCCTGCCGAATCTCACGCGGTTGCAACCAGAAGACACCTCTGAAACATCACTTACATGCGCTTGTCGATCATCTTGCAGAGGTTGAGGGTCTTGTCGGTGAGCTGGGCCCAGCCGCGGTTCAGGACGATCTCAAAGATGGCGCGCATCAGCCGCCCCGCGGACTGCGGGACACAGAGCAGCTCAGCTGCCATCCTCACCCCCATTTCTCCTCTTTTCTACCCGTTTTCCTGCCCAGCCATGGGGTGGCAGAACGGTTTGGGTCGGAAGAGACCTCTGAAAGCTCATCTAACCCCTCCATGGGCACCTTTCTCCAGACCAGGCTGCTTGAGCTGCATCCAACCTGACTCTGAACACAGGGATGGGGCATCTCCCTTCTGAGGGGCGGCTGAGGGAGCTGGGGCTCTTTAGTTTGCAGAAGAGGAGACTGAGGGGAGACCTCATTCATGTTTATAAATATTTCAAGGGTGAGTGTCACGAGGATGGAGCCAGGCTCTTCTCGGTGACAAACAATGATAGGACAAGGGGTAACGGACACAAACTGGAACACAGGAGGTTCCACTTCAATTGGAGAAGAAACTTCTTCTCAGTGAGGGTGACAGAGCCCTGGCCCAGGCTGCCCAGAGAGGTTGTGGAGTCTCCTTCTCTGCAGACATTCAAAACCCGCCTGGACGCCTTCCTGTGCAACCTCATCTGGGTGTTCCTGCTCCGGCAGGGGGATTGGACTGGATGAGCTTTGGAGGTCCCTTCCAATCCCTGACGGTCTGGGATTCTGTGATCCACGGCTTCTCTGAGCAACCCCTGGCAGTGCTCACCACCCCATAACAACACCTCATAATAATATCAACAATAACTCTTCCTTATACCCAACCCAAATCTCCCCTCTTTCAGCTTAAAACTGTTACCCCTTGTCCTATCACTACAGAAAAGTCTTTCCTTATCCTTGCCATAAGTCCCCCTTGAGTTATTGAATTATATTGAATTATACTTACATATTACATATGTAATATGTATACTTACATAGTATTATATAGTTATTATACTTGTATTGGTATATATATAGTATATTACTGGGGGTGTTGGTTG